ATACAACAGATGAAATGTGACACTCACAGATGATAATTGTATGTGCCCAAATTTAGGTCCTTTTAACTAATTAAGTTTTCAAAAAGAAATTTTTCCCTAATTCCTATTGTACACTTATTAAATATGAATATTTTAAAGTACTACGTGGGGAATAACTTGATTGTTTGGGGCCTGTTTTACATACTTATTCCCTTTGCCATACTAAAATTGAAATAACAATTACTTTGGGGCCCAAAGAAAGAAGGGAATATTTATTTTCTTCATCTTCAAGCAAAAGGACAGCACAAAAGAAACCTAAAGCAGTGTGCATCAAAACCGATTTAAATCACCATTAAGGAATGAACATATGGCTTACTTCAACTTTAGAATTGGTGTCCCCATAATTAAAGAGGTCAAGTAAAAAATAAATCCTCATCATCTATTCTCCTTTAAAGAGTTCAGACTTCCTTCTTATCTTTGTTGACATTCTTATGCCGTTCATTGCCCTCTTTCATCAGCTCATCTAAGGCGTCTTGCGGGTCAATATTGTCTTTGGAGAACCTTTGTTATGTTGATTCTTTAATTAATTTTTATCGGGAAAAATTATGAATATTAGAAAATTAAACATAAAAAACAATCTATTAGATGTTCTCACCTAGTAGGGTTGAGCAATAGGCAGGGTGGGCTAGCCTAAAAGTTAGGCCCTAGCCTGCCCCTTTATGAATAAACAGGCATGGGCTAACCCATAATCCGATAGCAGCCTATTTAGCCCTTATTAAATAGGCTATGGGGCAGCCTGTTTGGGTTGACCAGTTTACGGGGTAACCCATTTATGTTTCTGTTTTTTTTTTTTGTAATTTTTTCAGCATAGTTACTTTGTATATGTAACCTTATGAAGCTGTCAATAAATTTTGCATGCTAAATAGAAAATCAAATATAAAATAACATCACATAATATCAACCATATCCAATCACACAACATCACTTAGAGTCACAAACAATCAAAGTTTGATAAAATTATAAAAATAGTCACCAATCATAAAAAATCTCATAAACTTTGAAAGTTCCAACTTTCACTTAAAGGATAAAATAAAAGTTCAGACAAGCATAAATGTTTGATAAAAGATGAATGAGAAACAATATCATCAATTAAATGAAGAATAAAAATATTTTTTAAAAAATTAAAACTGAAATGGGCGAGTATGGGCAGCCTAATATCTTACCCATAGCTTAACCTGTTTAATGGGCTACCCTGTCTATTTAAACCCGCCCGTTTATAATCTCTTATTTGGGTTAATTGGGAGGGCTCAAACGGGCAAAAATTTCATGGGTCACGGGTGGCCTGGCGGGTAATAAGTTTGTTGCTCACCCCTATCACCAGGTGACTGTAAATTAGTATTTATTGGATTTGTGTGTGTTCAATCTGTGACAGTATAATCATGCAGAATGTTGTTTCTTAACTTTCATATTTTGACAAGATCGAAGAATTATGTCTAATCATTTTGATCTTATAGATTAATCATATCAAAACATAAGTACGTAAATAAAATAAATACCATTTTCTGATCACCTTCCTTTTTGTTCACTGGCTCCTGAAATATTTTCAATCAAATTATATTTTTTATTGGCTTTTAAATTAATTTTATCAAATATTATAATATTAAAATATTAAACATCAAATCTATCAGATGTTTTTGTCATATTATGATGAATTTATATTAACTGAATATTTATTCTTGAATGAATTTATTTTTTCTGCATTTCATAACAAGTTTGGTTATTGAACTTTATTTTTCCCTCCTTTTAGTTCCTCAATAATTGCAATAATATCAGGCCAAAAAAATTGCAATAATGAATTTTAATACTTAAACTTTTTTTAAAAAAAATTTAATATATCATGTATTTGTACCAATTGCATGAATTGTTATTTGTTACTTTTGTACAGCAGAACATCCCTAAGAGTTACTCGGGAGGGCATTTCTGCATTATTCGTGTAACTTTATTATGGTATTTGAGGTAAGTATCAAATATCATAATAATCCATTTAGTCACTTATTTTATTTATATTTTATTTTTCTTATTATTTGCCATGAATATAGTAAGGAAATAATATCTCAATCACCAAATGAATTGATATCTTGACAAAGATAAGAAATAAAACACCGGATCAATCACTAAACCGGTTGAGACAATAGACTAGATCAGGGTCCAGCCAGAGTCAGACTGGTCATATTAAAATAATATAATTTAATTGACAATAAAAAATATAACAACATTTATAAATAAAAATCACTCAACAAAATCTAAGAAACTATGAAAATAGTTTAAATGTTTATTTTTTTCCCAACAGTTTAAATGTTTAATTGTAGCAGTCAAAATTATTAAAATACATATCTACTTTAAATGTTTGATATTTTTAGGTGGTTGAGACAAAAATCTGCAGTTCATTAAAATACATATCTTTCTCTCTCTCTCTCTCTCTCTCTCTCTCTCTCTCTCTCTCTCTCACGTTACTGCTTCCCATTTTCCTCTCCATGACACGCATCATGAGCAGTTTTCCTCTTTCTTCTTTGAACAACGAACAACCAGCAAGCACAATAAAATAGCAAACCTGGAACCCGCTTCACAGCTCTTCATTTCTCTTTCTCAGCTAATTTGCATTTGCCTTCCTCATTTCTCTTTCATTTGTCCATACTTCATCCATTCCATTATCTCTGTCATCTTCCTTCTTACCTTTTACTGTTCTAGTTTCTCCCCTCTCTCTCACAGTTTCTCTCTTACAGCTTCAACAACAAATAAGCTCCCCTGGTAAAGCCTTGAATGTTGAATCATCCCTTTATCTTTCTTCCATGCGTTTTACGCTATGTTTGGTACGGGATTTTTGGAGGGAAAGGGAGGAGAGTTGCTCCCCTCCCCTTGTTTGGCTGGTGTAATTTTTTAGGAGGGAAGGGGAGCCTCTTCCCTTCCCTCGTTTGGTTAAGATGTTTTTTAAAGAGGGGAGGGATTCTTCTCCCCTCCTCTTCCCTTCTAGCCTCCCCTCCAAAAGTGGGGTTTTTTGGAGGGGAGATGAGAGATAATATTTTAATTTCTTATATACCCTTTTAATTTGTTAACCTCTAATCAGTCGTAAACATTTCTATATAAGAGCGTTTTTTTTAGCATCTAACAAGAGGTTATTAAGATAATTGTCTCCAAAATTAGTGAGCATTTGTAAACTTTTTTTTTCTCTTCTTCTAATTCCAAGAGGTTGTTGGTATTTTCTTTCACCTTCAAGGTCTTTTCTCTAATTGAAATCTATTACTTGTGACTTTTTATCATGATATTCTATAAGTGTGTGACTGTGTCTTGTAAATCAAAATTGGTGAATTGTATTATATATTTATAATTATATCTTAACAAAATAAAAAAGTGAGAAAATTCATTTAAATTTTATGAGGTTAAAATAGTCAATTTTTTATTAGAACAAAATAAGGTATTATTAAAATTGCTCCCTCCCCTCCCCTCCAATCAATCCAAACAGGAGATCATTAAAATCCCTCCCCTCCCTTCCTCCTCCCTCCCCTTCCCTTTGTAGCTACCCTCCCCTTTCCTCCCCTTCCCTTTCTTTGATTAAAATCCCTCCCCTCCCCTTCCCTCCATCGAGCCAAACACAGCGTTAGTTTCCACGCTAAAATGCTTCTTCACTTCATTTTCTAGCATGTTTAGGAATTCTCTCACAGTAAGGTTTGTTTTCTCTTTCTATTTTTCCTCTTCCTCTACCTTCTTTCCTCGGTAAATCTTCTCCTTTCTCACAGTTTATGCATTTTTAGGACGTAAAAAATTTTAAACCGGATAATCACCCATCCCACCTGGTGGCTACTTGGTTAAACCCGTTTGTCACTGGGTCTAACAAGCAAACTTGACCAAACTGAAGGCCAATTTGCCAGTTTTCTGATTGAACGCCCAGGCCGATTTTTTTACCTAAAGTAAAGAATAATCTAAAAACTCTTAGTTTTATTGTGATGTTTCTACTTTTTCTATCGGGTTTGGGTGTCGTTATTAATTTAATATGTATTGTGGATCTTTATTTAGATATTTATATCAATTGAACAAAAAAAACAGCGGTATAAATATTTAATTATTAGCTGATAGATTTTTTTAGTGTATTTTCAGAAGAAAACCAAATCATCATCCTTCCACGAATCATTGATTCATATTAAAAGTTGTAAATACAAAATATTTTGAAAACTATCTATGTTTAATTTTCTTTTTCGGAACCTGTGGGTAATTTTCCCAACTTTTTATTTGAAGTTTGGTGAAAGAGCAGTATAAAAAAATTGCAAATCTGTTCGATTCATTCTTTTGAACTTCACAATAATAAATTTAGGAGAATGAATATTTGTAGAAATTGAATTCTAAATTTTAAGATCCATAATGTCATAGCCTTAATTACGTGAATCACTGTTTGTTTCTTTATTGATTCCAGGCTCGCTTCGGAGAAACATTTTCCTTTCCAGACTAATTTGACTGTACAGTTTGAGGTAATTAATTGAATAAATGCTTTATATTTTTTTATTTTTTTCATTTTAGTTGTTTGCTACGTCTTATGATTTTTTTTGCTTAAATAATTTCTATAACTATCTGAAGTTACAATACTCTGGCGCCTAAGTTATACTTTCTGATGCTCAATATTTGGGAAATCGCAGGAAATACTTTCAATTTTTGTTTAAGAAAAAATTCTCCATTTTTAGAGAGTATTTGTTAATCATTAATTTACAATGCTGTCTATAATATCTTCTGGTATGGTATAACTTGAGAATTCCTATTTTTTCTTGTACTCTCTTATAATTAATTAGTTTCAGTTATCGTCTTTCTGCATTGTTAATTTTCATGTCATTATTTAGATTTTATAGTAGTTGGCAGCAAAAGTATGTGACAGCAGAATGAACTCTTTTTACTTGATTTTATATTTATAATATGAGAGATTATTAGTACTAAAGCGACATTAAGTAAGTATATGTGATTGCGTTTTATTGCATCAGATGGCAGAGATTGTGATATCAATCGGGTCAAAGCTTGCAGAATATTTGGTGGCTCCAATTTCACAAGGAGCTACTTATTTGTTTTGCTTCAAGCAGTTCATTGGAGGTGTTGAGAAAACAAAACAAGAGCTGGAGGCAAAACTAGAAGACGTGAAAAAGCGTAAAGAAGAAGCTGATCGAAAAACTGAAGAAATAATGCCATCCGTGAAGAAGTGGTTGGACGATGTGAATGCAATCCTAGAAGAGGTGCAAAAGCTGCAACAAGAGCTTGAAGGAGGACCAAACAAGTGTTTTAATGTGTCACTCAGATATTCTTTAGCAAAACGAATGGAAAATAAAGCTAAGCAAATGACAGATCTCAAACAAAATTCTAGCTTTGAGCCATTTTCCCAACTGATCCAACTTCCTGGCATTACTTACTTCTCTTCCAAAGAGTTTATGGCTTTCAACTCAAGGAAATCAACTTATAATCGTCTTTTGGAGGCAATTATAAATGGCAAAAACAAGATGGTGGGACTATATGGTATAGGGGGCTCAGGCAAAACCACTTGGGCAAAAGAAGTGGGCAAGAAAGTGGATGAGCTGAAGCTTTTTGACAATGTCATCATGGTAGTTGTTTCTAAACCCCTAAATATTCTTAACATTCAGCAGGAAATAGCAGGGCAAATAGGCTTACAACTTCAAGAGCCAACTCAACTTACTAAAGCACAAAGGCTGTCAGAAGGATTGAAAAATAAGAAGATTCTTATAATCTTGGATGATGTGTGGAGCAAACTAAAGCTTGAAGATATTGGAATTCCAACCACTGGAGGTTGTCATATCTTGTTGACCACTCGCCTTCGAGATGTATGTGTCTCTATGGATTGTGAGAGTAAAATTGAGTTGTCTCTCTTAACAGAGGAAGAGGCATGGGCTTTGTTCAAGATGCATGCTAACACAACTAGTGTGTCAACGAATGAGTTCGATAGCATCGGAAGGAAGATTGTTGATGAGTGTAAGGGTTTGCCTATAGCAATTGTAACAGTTGGAAGCACATTAAAAGAAAAGAGTATTCATACGTGGAGATCAACATTAGAAAGGCTACGACATCCCCCACCACTGGATATTGAAGATGATTTGAAGACCCCTTATGTAACTCTCAAAGTAAGTTATGATAATTTGTCGAGTCCGCTAGCTAAGTCGCTCTTCATATTGTGCTCTATGTTTCCTGAGGATCATGAAATCCATATAGAGGATTTAATTCGTTTTGGCAAAGGGACTCTTAAGCTTGGTGAAAGAATTTACACAATGGAGAAAACAAGGAATAGGGTTTTAGCTAACATTGAGAAATTGTTAGATTCTTCTTTGTTAATGCATACCAGTAAGCAGGCACATGTAAAATTGCATGATGTGGTTCGAGATGTAGCCTTGTGGATTGCAAAGGAGCAATGTCAAGAAGTTCTGGTGGACAACCAAGAAATTTCAGAGATGTTAATTGGTAACCACCAAAGTTTGGAAGATACAAAGGCAGTGTCATTGTGGAATTTGGATGAGGATCTCGAGCTCTCTAAACAATTGCATTTTCCAAAACTTGAGATTCTACTACTTCAACCATATGGGTTCATTCGAGATATTGGAGCAATGGAGTCACTCAAAGTCTTGGCACTCATAAGACATGGATTTGAGTGGGAATTGCGGAGGTGGGATCCAACTTTTTGTTCAATTCCACAATCAATTGTATCATTAACTAATCTTCACACCTTATGCCTTAGAGGGAAAAATTTGGGGGACATATCTCTTTTGGGTGAACTTAAAGGATTGGAGATTCTTGACTTACGTGGTTCTCGATTTGCTGAATTACCTATTGGAATTGTAGATATGAAAATGCTGAAACTTTTGGATATATTTGGTTGTCAAATTGAGAAAAGCCCTTTAGAAGTAATTGGAAGATGTGAGCAGCTTGAAGAATTATACTTTTGGGACCACAAATCTGTCATCCCAGAAATTCTCTCTCTTTCAAATTTGAAGAGGTATGTTATCTATGATTCCAGATTAATTTATGAATATTTGGATGACTCTTTTCAACAATATTTGGATGGTTGTGATGAAGCATTAAGAGCTTTATGTATACAAGGCTTTAGAGTCTCTACTTTGAATGCATCAATGAAAGATCTCATTCTTAGAGCAAACCACCTTTGGCTAGATAACTGTGAGTGGGATTATAAAGATACAAATTTTCAGATAAAGCACTTAGTGGTATCATGCTGTCAAGAGAAAAGATTCATCATCAAGAACCCTGATGTGAACATTCTTCAAACACAACAAGTATTCTCACGCTTGATCACTTTAACATTGTTTGAAATGAATAGTCTTGAACAAGTGTTTCAAGATTCGTCTATTGGCTGCTCTCTCCCCATGTTACAAGAGCTATGGATACGGAGTTGTCCTGAATTGAGAATCTGTATCTTCTCGCATGCCACCATTACGAGCCTGCCAAAGTTGAGAAAACTTCGTATTTATCGTTGTGACAAAGTGAAATGGCTATTGTCTTGTTCCCTAGCTTCTTATTGTCCTTTACTGAAGGAAATAATTATAAGCAATTGCTCTGAATTTGAGAGGCTCATTGATGAAGAAGCTGCACATGGGGATCCACTACTTCATGATAAGCAATATTATCCATATGTAAGTATTATTCGCAAAATTCCTCTTTTTTTTTTTTGACCATGAAGCAAAATTCCTCTTGAATCATTGCATATTAGAAATAATAGTCCATATTCACACATTTGATGAAAAATATTTATCTTTTCATTTAATTTTTAAACTGAATTTTTTTGCTTCTCTCTTTTGACACGCATAAATTTGATATCCTTTTGGTTGTGCTGGGAAAAAAAAAACTAGAATCATGCAACTGCTAATAATTTCACTTGTAGGTGATTTTTTTTCTTTTTGCTCACTCTACCTTTTTTTTTCTCCGATAACAAATTGAAGATATTACCTTTTTCGTTAATTTGAAAAATCTGTGCTTATGATCGAACAGTATATATAAGCATTAAAAATATATATATATTGTCAATAGGCAACAATAGTCATGTTATTTTTCTTTTTATTTATTCTGCCTCTACGTTCTTTTTAATTTATAGATAGCCATGTTTACAATCGTATAATATATATTAAAAAATATTTTTAGTAAGGTATAATAGCCATTTTATTTTTGACTTGAGTTCATTGTAACTGTATAAGCCTCTTTTTATTGTGAAGTTTTCTGAGCTCCGTATGTAGGCTACACGATAAAACTACTTTTTGGGTTTTGCTTTATTTTCAAGATAACAAAATACTATTGCTTCTTCAAGCTTTGTACTTTTCATATTAATTCTTATTAAATTTTTTTTCGCATCAAGTATTTATTGTGGGAAGTACTTATTCAAAGTTGTTCTATTTATAATAAATTGGCATTGATGCATTTTCCATATATAAAATATTCTTTCTTTCTTCATTTGGATTTTTCTGCCATGCTTTTCTGTGGATGTGAAAAAACACTTTTTAACGGTGCCTCTCTTTGTCTTAAACAATTGTATGTTCATATTTCAATTTTGGGTCAAATAAATATTTGTGTTGGTCAAGAAATATATAATATGTCTACTTATATATATATATATATATATAATTAAATGTTATAACAGAGGTTGAATGTAATCATGTAGCAAAACAAATATAGAATATTCGTTTGTTAAATACATGTTGAGATTATGTTAATTATCACCATTTAAAAAATACATGAAATCAATTTCAAAATTTTGGCCCAAAAAAAAAATATCGATTTCAAAATGAAAGTAAAGTGTTGTTTGTTATCATAAAATAGTTTGGTAAATCATAATTTATATCACGATCTATATATTAATTGTACAAGGTAATTAAAGAAGCTAATATATTATAAATTAGTGTCGTTTCTTTCTTGACTTAAAGATTTTTAACTATATAATAATGTTTGTATAATGAAATTCTATATCTTTGTACTACTGCTAGTCCTCAGTATAAAATATAGTTTGCAGTGCACCTCAATGATAATATTTTAAAAATATATAGGATACATGCATAATCATATATAATTGGAGAACTTTGCATAATGTTAAAGGGAAGATTAACTACTAATTATGTATTGTAACCAAAATACACTACTACTTGTATTTTTCTCTTTCTTTTTGGAGTATTAAAAAAATTATTTACAAATTGTATTTTTTATTTCTTTCCACACAAGAATCTGATAAAAACTTGAATGTCTTTTGCTCATTTTAATTTATTATCAAAAAATTGATCTCATTCTTCCGAACAGCACTTTAAATTTTTGTTTTATATTTTTGTCAATAAAATAATGATTTAGGATACCAAATTTTAAGATAAATGTTCTTCTTAAATTTTCTTTTGATATTTAAAAAGATCTCTCTTACCGTGTCTCTTTTATTGCTATTAAAATTTTTATATTTTCATTTCAAGTTTTGGTAAGAAGTCCTTATTGTTATTACATATATTTGCCTACTTGTTAAAGAGGATTATTTACTAGCAATAGTTGGCAATAATTAATATATAATATAAGAAACTTACTAGGTTTAATCTCAAATCTAGTTAGAGTAAAAAGCAAGTTGTTATAATCAGTCCATTTCATAATTTTAATTTTAATTTTAATACATTTACAGGGAAAGGAAAATGATAGTGCTTATGTGGGCGTTATAGCAAAAAGGTTCAATCAGTTGCAAAATGAGCAATCCTTGATCCTTTTTCTAAGGTTGAAAAGTCTAGAAATTGAAAGGAGTGGAAAAAAGAAAGGTATAATGGAAATCCAAGTCAGAGGAAGAATAGAAGATGATGAAGAATCTATTAAAGCCCAAGAACCTCTAAAGCTGGATTCAGAGTTGAGTGAATTAAAATTAGATGTTCTACCAGAATTGGAATATATTTGGAAGGGCCCCACCCAAATTGTGAGCCTCCACAGACTTGAAGATATTTCACTAACAGATTGTCCAAAATTGAAAAGTATTTTCACTCTAGCTATTGTTGCAAGCCTTCCAGAGTTGAGAAGACTTGTAGTAGATAACTGCCAGGAATGGGAGGGAATATTTTGTGAAGAATCACTCAAAAACCTCTCTTCTTCTAATATTTGCTTCCCCAAACTTAAGAAGATTAACATATATAATTGCAACAAAGTGAGATGGTTGTTATCTTATTCTCTGGCATCTCATTGTCCTTCACTAGAGTTCATATACATAGACAGTTGCTCTGAATTTGAGGGGCTTATTGGTGAAGAAGCTGCACATGGGGATCCACTACTTCATGATATGCAAGATCATCCACAGGTAAGTCTCATCCGCAATGTCTCTCTCTCTTTTTTCTTTGACCAGCAAATCCGCAATGTCTCTCTTGAATCATTGCATATTAGAAATAATAATAATCCATATATATATGTTGACGCATTTGCTCAAGTAGCCATGTTCAATTTACATCTCCCTTTTATTTGAAAATTTTTTGTTTGTTATCGTATAATATATATTTGTATAATCATTAAACATAACTTCTACAGTAATTATTTTATTTTTGACTTCACTTTATTGTACCTGAATGGGTGGTGGACCGATGCCACTGGGTGAGTACGCGACAAAAATATGACGAAACTAATTAGGATTGATGTCTGTCGGCTTAGAAGAATACCCTCTATAACCGGCGCCCCTCAATCACATAGAAATACGAATCGAATAGCAACCAATCTGCTTCATAACCGGCATTAGAGCTACTGAAAATCTAGCTGACCTTATCATTTTAACAGATATAGGTGACAGGTCAACACCTGGTCCCCTGAACATCTTTGCAAATTCATAGAAGCCAGTGTCTGATATCAAAGACTTCGGTTTAGAAATCTTGACACCAAGATAAGGAATAAGACAATATTTCTATGAGGTCCTTTTGATATAAAAATTTCTACAATCTACAGAGAGGGAATAGGACCTCCCCTGGATTTCGATTTCCTTCTTACTGTAGTTCTTGGAATCTTTTCTTCCATTCTTCTAAGCATTCCGTCTCTCCCGTTGTTGCAAGTGAGTCTTATAGTGAGTTCATGTGTATGCGGGCTCATTGCCTAGTGAAGCCGTACGCTTCTTTTCTTTATTGCTCCAGTGAGCGAGTACTTTTTATCTTTCTAAGCCGTCGAAGTCTTCCCGTAACCCCTAAGCTCATACCCCCTAGCCCTTAGTCCCTTGTTTCGGGGTAAGGTTTCTCTCTTTTTCTGTCCATCTTTCTTTGTAGTTTGTCTTCCTATTCTTTCTATTCTAAGTGGGCAGAAGCCTTCCCAGTTGAGTTCTTAAGAGAAGGACCAAGCAATTGAAACCCTTTTTTTGACTGAACCATCGTCAAACCTCCACCAACATTGGATGATAGAGGGACGTTCTACCAGCTAAATAGATCCACTTGGCTTTCCAACCTGCAAGTCTTTGCTGCACTTTCTTCATTATGTAGTTAGTTTTCTTTCTTGACACTCTTTTGTTAAATTTTCTTGGCTATATATTCAGGCTGCACGATGAAACTATTTTTTGAGTTTTCCTTATTTTCATGATAATAAAATATTATTTCCTTTTTCTTTTTTTTTTAAAAATATATAACAACTTTTATTTGTCAGATGCAGTAACATTTTACATTTCGTATTTTGCATTTTGGTCAAGTAAATGACTTTTTCATTTTGTTTTTGCTATTAGGTATGTATTGTGGGAAGTGCTTATTCAAAGTTATTTTTATTCAAAAATAAATTAGTGTTGATGCATTATATAAAAACTACACATACTTTAAGAGAAATATTTTTCCCTTTCAAATTTTTTTGCCATGCTTTTCTTTTCTTTTTGATGTGAGAAAATACCTTTTTGTGGCTCTTTCTTTTTCTGCTAAAAATTAAGTTAATATTAGTATTTTTGTTCAAATAATTCTTGTCGGTCAAGAAATATTTAATATGTGTACTTCTTGTTAAAAAAAGATATATATATTATTTATTAAATGTGATATAGTTGTTATAATAGAGAATTAACATAATCATGTAGTAAAAAGTATATACAATATTTGCCAGTCACACATTTTCCATGTTACTCTAAAAATTGATTGAGTCTGGTAAAACGCATGTTGAGATTATGTTAACACAATTTTAAAAGTACATTATTTTTATTTTGCCATTAAATGATCAATTCGGAAAATACTTATAATGCATAATATAAATTGGTGTCTATAGAAGTTCTCACTAGAGATTTCAAACATTTTGATAAAATTTTTCTTTCGCTCACCTACCTCTTTTTCATAGAATTTTTATTTAGCATTTACATTATAATACTAAAGATTAAACTGCTCAAATTTTTCTTTTTCTTTTTCTTTTTTCAGTACTACAAAATATTATTTGCATGCTGCATTTTTTAATTTATCTTTCCACATATGAATTTGATAAAAAATTTAATCTCTTTAGTTCATTTTAATTTTTTTGTCAAATAATTAATTTTATTTTTCTGAACAACATTTTTTTATTTTTTATTTTTATTTTGTCAATCGAATAATTATGTGGGACTGTATTTTATTTAGAATAAGTTGGAGTTGATATAATATCTATAAACTACCAATTTGTTAAATTTTCTGTGGACGTTAAAAAGGTCTTTGTTAGTGTGCATCTTTTATTGCTATTAAAATTTGTATGTTTTCCTTTCAATTTAATATGTCTAATTGCATGCTTTAATCTCTCAGCAACCTTTGATTCGAAATTGTTCTGAACTTGAGAGGCTTGTTGAAGAAGCATCATATGGGGATCGGCTACCACTTCTCAAACTGAAGTACTTACGCTTGTTGTCATTGCCGAAATTGAGAGAGATCTTCTCTCACGTGAGTGTTTTCTCTCACTATTCTTTTTTTATTTGTGATTTTTCATGGATAAAATTGATAAATGTCTTTTAAATTATTTATCAAACATAAAATTGAGAAATAACTTCTTTCTTATTACAGAAAGTACTTATTCATGGTTGTTTTTGTTAAGAATGAATCAGTGGAAATATTTTCTCATTTTCTTTGGACGTGAGAAAATTCTTTTTACAGGACCTTTTTTCCTTTCCTCTTGTTTACTTTTTAAATTTATTTGAAAATTTGTGTTTACTATGAAACGATATATACGAGTAGCAAGACTATATTCTAACGAAAAGCAAATAATCATTTCACATTTTATTTAATATTTTGTGTCTATGAAGCAGTCTTCTCATCATGAAATCAAGCTGGAAATTACTTGAAGTATTAGCAATGTTCCCATTAATGCTTGGTTGCGGAATCATTTTTTGTTTTTGTGAGCGGTTCTTTATCATGGAAAGTATGACTTGTCCAAGACTGTTTGATTTGAAATAAATCAACGTCGATGCATATTTATAGATCATACATTGTGTATGTGTGTGTGTCTATATATATTTCACATTGGACCATCAATAATATGTATAAGAAAAGTCTAACTTAATAAAATTCATCTTACTGAGCTTATCTTATTACAGTTTTATGAATATGTGAAATGAATGGGGTTGACTTTTTAATGTTACAGCGCCATTAAATTTATGTGGTTCATGTGTGTGTATACATAATCCATATGTTGAATTTTCATCTAATCATTGAATATATTTACTTCACAGAAACATGAGAATGATAAAATGAGAGCGGTAAAGTCAGAATTGTGTTCTACATGGTTAGAAGATCTACCGGAATTAGAATATATCTGGAAAGATCCCATACAAATTTTGAGCTTCTATAGACTTGAAGAGATTACACTGTTGGAATGTCCGAGATTAAGAAATATATTCACTGTTGCTGTCGTTACAAGCCTTCCAGAGTTGAGGGAACTTGATGTAAACGGATGCAATGAATGGGAGGGAATATTTTGTGAAGAGTCACTTAAGAATCTGTCTACTACTCCCACTCGTTGCTTCCCCAAACTTGAGACCATTTTTATATCTCGTTGTCACAAAGTGAGAAGGGTGTTCTCATATTCTCTGGCATCTCATTGTCCTTCATTGAAGAAATTATATATAGCGAATTGCTGTGAATTGGAGGGGGTTGTTGAAGCTTATGAAGGTGAAGTAGCTGCTCATCATCATCAAAGGCTGTTTCCTGAACTAAATTATTTGAAGCTCAGTAATTTGCCAAAGTTGAGAGAGATTTATGAAGGTTATGAATCCAACCTCCTTTCTGGTACTATAACAATAGAAGATTGTCCAAACATATCAAAAATCTCAAAAATCCCATTAGAAGACAAGCCCTCGTCATCAGGTTCGTAGCTACACTCTTTCTTTCAAACTATTATCATATTTAATCAATGAAATAATTTTGTGCATTACAATTTCTATCGTTACATGGAAAAAAAAGGTCTTTTATTAGAAGAAAAAAAATTCTATCTTAACACCCACACACACATCGCTCTATTTTTTTTTTAATAAGAAATTGCAATTACTCCCAAAATTTTTTCCGTGTCTATATAATAGTCGTCATGTCAAAATCATAATAATGTACTCATATTAAATAAATGACATGTTATGGTAATATTAGAAGTTGAATAATTATATAGAACTCAAAAATAATTAATTTCCACCATTTTCACATTCGTAGTAACACATTATTTCTCATCATTATAAGCATAATTAGCTGTAGTTTAGTACACATTATCCAAGGAAAATTTTGAAAATTGTGTAGAATAAATAAGTTTATTGGTTTTTATTTTGTCTATGTCCCATTTTGATTAGGCTGCTAATTAATTGTTTTTGCCTTTGGTCAGCCATGGAGATCAAATTAGAAAGTTAGATAATGATGGAGTGATTTGAGCTTTGGATCTTCTAATGGTTTCTTTATCTGCGTATGTGTTTTACTGAGTTTTATGTCTATGAAAATGTGTTGGATTTGTATTATTGTGTTGAAAATAGATGAAAATGTAGATATAACTTTACTCTGAAGTTATGTGATTATATTCAACAATGTACACAAAATACAATAATTGCGTGGCTCTTGTGTCCACTGCTTATTTTGTTTCAAATATTGTATCAATCAATGATTTTTTATCTTATTCTCTATTTCAAGTTCGTAATATAGTTATTATTATTTAAAAAAATATAATCACAATTCTATATTCATTTTGATGAAGAAAAAATCATTCCAAAAGAGCTTTCTCAAATTAAAAAAGAAAAAAAAGGATAACATACTTTTAAATTGTAAACGAATCTGTTTCGAAGGTTCTAAACTTTATAATCCAGTCCATCAATTTGATGACTGTAAATAATTGTAAATTTTTCAACAATTGCCAACATTTTGTATAAAATTAAAACAATTTTTAAGAGAAAAATATCATTAAAGGGAACATTTATGTAATATTTATGAATAAAAATTCAACACTAATAAAATTAGATAAATTTAAAATATTTTTCATCAAAGACAGAAATTGAAAAATAAATAAGTTATCTGGTTGTAATGTAACTAATTTATGTCTTGCTAATGTATACTTTATTATCTTTTGTTTTAAGAAATTTCAAACACATCAGCTCGAGTTGTGAGCTCCGCCATTTATTTGATAACTCTAATTGTCATAATTTTCATTCATGCAACTTAATTTTAAAAAATATTGTTAGGCAAGACATAAACTAGTTACATTACAACTAAATTATTGTATATATTTGGACATTTCAACAACAACGTATGTTATGATTTTCTTTTATGTTTCATTTATAAATATATGATATCTTATATTGTTAATTTGAGCATTATTAGATTCCATGATCATATAGAATTAGATTATGTTATAAAAACACAAGAATTAGATTACATCTGGCCTTCACAAGGAACAGTGATAAGTGATAACTATAAAAAGAATATGACAAAACTTCCTTGTGTTTAAATTAAAAACAAAAATATCATTCATAGTCCACCTATTATAAACCAAAGTCCTGCTGTTTTCTCCCCTTTTTATTCATCTAATAAAGTATACTTTAGCAAACATATATAAGAAACTAGGATTCTTTACATTCATGGATTGATACACTTGAAGAAAGTTCCATAAAAGAATGTAACTATAAATTAGAAATAGTCTTGAGAGTTGAGAGTTTTGAAAAGGTACTAAAGCTAGAAACACAAATGTTCTCTTTATTGAATCTACAGAGCATGAATCCAAATGTTTTGTAATCCTAAGTGGGACCAAGTTAAAAAAAATGGAGGGATGGTTGTGAAGAAAGAATATTACTCATCATACCTGCCATGACTTAAAGATTTATATATCTGTGTTTCTCATTCTCATGAATATCAAGTAGGTGGAAAAAATCACAACGTATAGAACTATTCATTTCTGCTATCTCCTTTAAACTTTCTGAACTTTGCCCACCATGTCATCCCTCTATCTTTCTTTGACTTTTCCACCTTGAGCGTGTTGTCAAGGAACACCACCACGATCAAAGCCACTGTGGCCGGCAATGAGAATATGGCGTTTATGAGTGTGTTGAACTACAAAGATGACACATTGTCACACATAAAAATGAGCTCTTGATGTTCGAAAATTTCAGCAACAATGCAGGGATGGTTTACTTCTATCTTAATCAATAATCTAAGCCTTTTAAGACAACTTTCCACTTAATCCCATCAAAGGCTTGAAATTAAATGCTCTAAATTAATAGAAAATATCTATTATCCAAAGAGAACGCAGTACAATGCAGTGAATATTATATTGAGACCAGTATAGATGCAAAAACAGCTCCAAACTTTCTAGCACAAACAAACAGAACTTTAGTTTAGCTTGTGTAAAAAAACTATCTGCCTACTTTGTTTTCAGCTTTGTCATCATAACAGATAACAACTAACTTGTTAAGCTCATATCATCAGAAAAGATGGGAAAATGTGAATGTAACCGTTAAAATTTTCCTTAAAAAATAAAGCTCCATTGCAGATAGTTAATGGCGTGCATCATCCTTATCCTAAAAAATAGCATAAGGATGTGTCGTTATACATTTCTTGCATTTATTCACAGGACAACATCAATTAATATAAATCTAATATTGGAAAGAACACATTAACAACTAAAACCTATAAACTATTATTATATATATATATATATATTAGAACTACTTTTCATATATCATTACACTGAACTTTTTTTTTTTGGCAGTGGGGATCAACAGTCTTCTGTTAGAGGTGCAAATTAAATATTCACCAGACATTTAAAAGGCGCTTGTGATGATTCCAACTTCAAGTAATAACATCTTTTTTTTTTGGTCAGAAAAGGTATAATATCATTAAAACAAAACAGAACGACTCAAAGTTTAAAGGCAAAGAAAACAACAGAAACCCAAAAAACTAAAAAAGAGCAGAAACAGAAACGCGAGAAACATCCAAAGACAACACTAAACTGGATCACTCCTATAGCAGCAGCTGAGAACAAACAGATCTGGTTCACTCCTATAGCAGCACCTGAGAATAAACTGTGAGAAAGAAGGGGAGACGATGAAAAATCTATCCAAGAACACACTCCCTTAATGCACTTGAAGCTGCACACCAAAACAATCACAAAACCAGGCAAGCAAAGATGAGCACAAGTTAACCGTCCTTCTAGAGGAGAAACAAACAAACAAAAGAAGAAATTATTGGGATTAGGGGGCATAAAACCCAACCATAGAGGCCACAAACCCATACAAAACTCCTTAGCTCATCCAAAGAAGCTAAGTTGCAACAGAGAGCAACAAATTCCAAAGGGAACATGCTCTCATGAAAGAAGCTCCACCAATCACAGCCAAGCTAAGCAAAATCAACACAGAGAGCCAGAAGCTTTGTATCCTCTAGATTTCCAGTCAACCAGTGACCAATCTCCAAAGCCAAAGCAGAAGCAAACCTCCCTCTTAAATCAGAACAATCAATCCCAGCAACTACTAACACTAAATTCTTAAAATCAAATACAGACCAATGACATACAGGCGGCACCCATCTTAAATCATCCTTAATTTTTAGTGGAGCCCTTTTGATTGCTACAAAGAAACTAAACTTCTGGACCTTCCCTTCGGTAAAGATTGAAGCAAAGCAAACAAATGAGTTACCAATAAATCCCGAGATATCCTTGTCTTGAAAGGAAAACAAACTAAAGCCCATCACCTTTGAGAAAACTATGGCAAGCACTATCTCAAATAAAACCAACAATACAAACCAGCAACAACAATCATTTTGAACAGAAACCAAGGTTTTCCTTGTATTCCAAAACCACCAAGAAGCATAAATCAGACCAACCAGCACAACCCACACTTCATAACAAGCAATCAAACCATATGGCCAAAAGGAGTTCACAAAGAAACTATTCGAAGAAAGAGTATCAGATCTTGTTACCTCACAAGGCCAAGGCAAAAGAATCCCACAGAACAGACTTACATCAACAAGGCACTGGGAGATTAGCTTTAATTTGAGAATCATTTATCCATGGCTCATAGATCTATTTTGAAGAAACAACTCATTTGCTTCCAACACATAGAACTCTCCTTCACCCATACTCCTCTGACCAAAATGGCTTTCAGATTTCACCATCTCTGGTGCTATTCCCACTGATTCCCAATTTGCACTTGGCTGCTCCGTTTTTGTCTTCCCCATTCATGTTGAGGCTCTTAGTCGTGCTGCCCACTGATCTTCCTCCTTCCAATCCCTAACCAAAAAAACCTCAGAACTTGCCCTCATCTTCAGATCTAGAAAAATCTCCAACTCACACACACACACACACACCAACGCGCACACACTAGGCTCACTCTCCCCCGGTGGCGACGCCGATGGAAGTCGCTCACCAAGGGGCGGTTTGCGCTCTCACAGGAGGAGAGAATTCGCTCTCACGAGAGGAGAGGTTTAATTTAAGTAATAACATCTAGATGGATTAATTTTCTAGTTTTATATGCTAATTAATCCCTTTTTGTTGTAATTCTGATTGTGACTGATGCTTTTGAATTGTCATGCTAGAATATTAGTAGTCACAGTTGGAAAGTTGAATTAGTAAGGTGATTAATTAGTTGCAAGTGTTAATAACCTAATTAGTTGGAGGGGAGGGAAAATGAGCCCCTCCCCTCATTTGGTTAAAAATTTTAGAGGGGAGGGGAGCTAAAATGTCCCCTCCCCTCCCCTCCCCTCCCCCATTTTGGCTCCCCTCCAAATTGGGGGTTTTTGGAGGGGAGCCAAAATTGTGGACCATTATGCCCTTATGGTTTTTTTAATATTCCACTTCTACTCATAAAATATATTATTATAATATTTATTTCAAATAAAAAATATATTATCCTAA